GAGGCGGCTGCAGAGCGCCCGGCTGGGCCACGGACTTTGAAGCCTGTGCAGCTGTGGGTTTCAGTGCGACGCTGTGGAAGTGAGCAGGAAGCGAAATGCAAGAGCACAAGAGACTTCCTTACCCCTCGACTTTTTCAGTCGAGGCCGGAGTGCCCAAGCCCATAGGTGCAGCTCTTGGAGCAGGTCCTGCACAAGGACCTACTGCCTCTGCTAAGGCACGTGCTCAGCACACTGCAGGCAACTCCTCCCTGTTCTGAGCCCCACCTGGCTCCAACCTCCTCTCAGGGAGCTGTCGAGAGAAGGTCTCCCCTGAATCTCCTTTGAGTTCCACCCTAGGGAAATTCAAGGAAAGCAACAAAATTCAACCCTCCTGAATGGAAAGAGTTAGGTCCAGGGCCAGCCTCCGAAATAATGAGTTCTTATTAAGTGATGTAACTAAACACTAGACACACTGGTCTAATTGGGAATGTAAGTAAACCTGACGTGTGGAAGATGGGAAGTTGTTTTGCTCTGCTTTTCTAGTCCTGAGCAAATGCAGTTTATCCAGCTCTCACATCACCTCCAGACTGGCACAGCGTGTCAGCAGCTCACCTTAGAGACATGCAAGGCAGAAAATCATCTGTGGGAAGGCAGCTGCAGGAGGCCACTGAAGTGGGGATAGGCATTAAGAGTATCTATTCACCCATCTACACATGCAGAGCTCTGGCTGAAGAGAACAGAGGGAAGGAAGGGTCTGGTCTCACCCAGTCGGTCCCATCATTTCCTTCTCACCATTCTCAACATGATCTTCTTTCCCACCATTCAGAACTGCCCCACCCCTTCTGGCCCGTGCCAGCTTGGATACCCAGAGTGTCTGCAATAAGCCAGTCTCTCCAGGGAAGTGCTCCTTTTCCTTCTCGAGGCCCTGCCCTACAGCCCTTCACTCTGCTTCTCGGGGCCAGGCCTCACCACTGGCACCACACCTGCAGTGCTCCCACTGGCAAGGATGGGCAGCGTCCTCCTTAGGCTAACAGGTGACCGGGCAAACGTCCTCCCACGTCCTCCCGTTCTGACTCCCACGCCTGGCCTTTGAGCCCCTCTTGGCTTTCCTCCTCCATGCAGACTGACTGGCAGGGCCAACCTGACTGACCTGAGGCACCAGGTACTCCTTCACCCTGCCCCTTCTCCTTCCAGCAGCCGCCAGATGTGGCACAGCAGAGCTGCCGACAGCGACGCCGGAGCCCCGTCCTGCTCCCGCTGTGCCAGGGCAGAGGCAGGGAGGACCCTCCAGGAGCAGTGCTGCTGCCCCTCCAGCCGAGCATGGCAAGGGCAGGAGGGGTGGGTTTGGACCAGGGCTCCCCCCGACGAGGAGGCCGGACTCCGGGCGTCAGGTTTATTTATACTCCAGATCTCGCCCATAGGAACTTGGGTCCAATCCAAGCACTCTGGATATAATTAAGTCTTTAGCCAGAGTTAAGCAGCATTTGGAGGGGTGAGATCAAGGATGATGTTTAAATGCTGCTGCAGTTGTACACTTCTACTTGCTCAAGGGTCCAGTTGTCCAGACACCTGGAGCACCCAGCATGAATATGCCACCCTGATGATTTACTCCAGCCAGGCTTGCTGAGATGGAGCAACAACTCAAGCAATGCAAGTCCTCCATCACACTCAGGCAAGTGGTGAAGTCCCATGACAGAGGGTACAAAAAAGTCCATTTCTACCCCCAGGATGACACAAGCACTGACCATCACAGCCCCACTGTGCTGCAACAGCTCAGACTGAGGAGCAGAGACAGTCTACAGCAGAGTTGTACCAGCTTGTGCACACAGTCCTTCCAGCATGAACAAGAGCAGAAGAATTTAGGGGACAACATAATGAACCACACCACATAAAAGCAAGAACTTTGACCAGAAGACTCTACCTGAGGATTAGTTACAGTTTTCAGGCAAAAAGTGAATCCCTCTCATTATTTAATGGTATTACGGATGAAGTGTTGTCTAGATAGCAATGGCTGGAAGGCTGTGAAGTGACACTAGTTCTTATTCCAGTGGCTGGATTTTTCCCATGGACTTCACTGAGGGCAGTGCAGTAGCCAGTGTCAGTCGAAATTACAGTTGTATTTCTATTCCCAGTCACACCACAGCCTGTATTTTTAGGTACCAAATTTTCAGCCCAGGCAAAGTTTTGCCTGTTTGATGAGAAAGGGAGTCACACACTTGCAACCAGCAAAAGCCAAACATAAAGGTATTACAAAGAATCAGATCCCACCTTTATGTTCCCACCTCTTGTTCCCAAAACAAAGAGGTTGCAGGTGAAGCCCAAAAGAATTCAGTCTGATGACCCAGGACATGCCCCAGCAACACACTGACACTTCCAACACAAGCCAAACTTCCAGTGCAGTCAGAGACACTGCAACACTGTTCCCTAAGAACAGTTTTTGGAACGATCATCCTCCAGAGCCATAAAGGAAGTTCCTTCCTCAGAAATCCAACCAGAGGGGTCAGAGAAACCACAGGGGAGCAAAGGGCCTCCAAGGGCCCATGGCTGTCGTAGGTAACTGCTGGGCATCAGTACCTAGGTACAGTAAATAGAATCACAAATCCAAGATGAGCTTTAGCTCTTTGAACTAAAAGGTATTTTAGAAAAACTTAAACTCTAGTAGCTATTAGCCCTCCAGCCACTCAGGATTAGCTCTGACACAAACGGAGCATCCTCACTGCTCACCACACCCTAGCTGCAAATGACACGAGTAGCTGCTACAATTTCCCCAGCTCTCCTCACCACGATGCTCCTCTCCTCACCACCACAGCTGCTGTGCACCCCCCATTTGTGAGCAGGGGCTCCAAATCCCAGGGTCCCCCCAAAGGTCTTGAACTAAAGCTGCTTATCACCTCTGAAATGACCACCACCAATTAACAGCCAGGCATTTAACAACTGTTAACCTCAATTTTTACAGAAAAAACAATGCCAACAAACAGTGGAACACATTAAAACACGCAAGGAGGTTTTTCATGGCAAGAAGTAGTCCAGCAAGCACTCACCTGATACTGGAGGCAAAGTTATGTCTCAAACTGTGTTAAGAGATCTCTTATTTCTGGAGTCAGGTGCTCTACTGCCTTGGCAGCTTCTGTGATCGCTTTCCGGTACATCCCTTTCTTCTTGCGATTAAATCTCAGTTTGAAAAATTCAGAGAAAGGAGAGAGTTTTGAAACGGATAAGAAGGAAGTCGTTGGAGAACCAAACCATGACACTTTAGCTTCTCGCCACGAAGGTTCCCCGTTTTCCTTCTGGCTAAGGTTTATGTCAAGAACACGTGCTGGCCACCATGGAAAACCATGAATTTTACCCCAAACAATATCCCCCACTGACACAGTTCTTCCATCTTCCGTGACGCATCTGGACACGCTCTGGGTGTGCAGCCTGACCGTCAGCGGCGGCACAATCTTACGCTCATCTTTTGAAGATGAAGAGACGGACGCATCATCACAAGGCAGAAAGTCACACATTTCTGGTGATGTTACTTCTGAACTAGAGGACTTGGACTCGTCTAGACTGTCATTACTACACACCGATAAACTAGAAGAATCTGCTTTTCTTTTTCGATAATTCATAAGGAAAGCCAAGTTATCGTGTCCATCTTTACCTTGGGGAAATCTTTTAAAGTCGTCATCTTCACCCGAACTCCCTGAAGATACCTCAGCCAGACTCCTGTCTGCCGACTCGTCGTTGTAGAAGGCGCCAGGGTTGGGCTCCCTGCTGCCCTGCAGGACGCTTATTTCGTCGATCAGCTCCGCCTTGTAGATGGAGACGCTCTGCCCATCGTTGATGCGGTGGGGCTTCAGCCGAATCTTTGGGGGCGGGACATCCGCGCTGGAATGCACCGGCCGCGTGAGCTTCAGCTTTGGAATGGAAGCGAGCTGGCTGCCTGCCGACTTGTCCAAGACACACTTGGTTTCTCGACACCGCTCAGAGTCCCGGGTCTCCTCTTGGTCCTCCCCCCCGTTCTGCAGCGCTCGCTCCGGACAGAACGGTTTGACCGAGCCGTGGACCCGCGAGGGGATTTTCACGACTTCGCCCTTCCCCTGGGGAGTACTGTAGGATATCTTTATGACCGGCGTCCGATGCACCAGCTCCCCGGAAAACTTGTCATCCTCTCTCTTCTCCCTCTTTTTCCTCTTCTCCGCGTAGTCGGAGTCGCCGTGCTTCTTCTGCTCCTTGTCCTGGATGCCCAGCTTCCTCCTGGTTTTCGCGTTCTGCCTGGCCGTGCCGGCGTCCTCGGGGTTCAGGGTGTTCTTGCACTTCTCGCAGAGCACCCGCCT